TGTCTGAGTCTAGGTCAGGGTGAAATGACGAGCTTACCATGTTTTCCAGCAAAGGTCGAGGCGAGGATCTCGGTTGTTCAGACAAGCCATGGCTTATATCTACGTTAAATGATACAGGTGCTTAGCTGCAAATCATTGCAGGATGAGCACAGGCTTAGTTAGACCTCCTGCGCCTCCATTTATCCCATTTTGATATGACAAACTTTCTGTGGCATAGCTCCGTTCTATTTCCATTTAAAATGCTAATCGTAGAAAAGGGTATCAAGCATGCAAAACGGTGCTGGATATCAAAATTGCAAGTCGTTGGCGTCGAGTTGTAGATCCTGTGGAAGGACAGAAGCTCTCTCGGTGGGTTATATGAACTGCAGCCTCAAGGTCCACGAGTCCACGGCCACATTCCTTTTATCAGACAGGAGTCTGTTCACCAGGAGTCTCGGGCTTGATTCGATTAATCTCAAATCCGCCCTCATCCTTGTCCTCACCCTTCTGTGGCCACATTATTTGCCGTAACACGATGGCGCGAATCATCATGTAAAAGACGAAGATATACATTAGTACGAGAGGAAAAATCATGGCACAGCCTATGATCAGAATCGGCTTGCATGAGAAAGCGTTCCCAATAGCGAACGTGGCAGTGATCAAGGCAGTGTTGGGAAAGACAAATGAGAACCACGCCATTGAAAAATTCATTCGACCAGGGCCGATGGTTGACCAGTGAGCAAAAGTGGCAATAAAGAAGAAAAATATTGCCAGGCTAGGTAGACGTCAGTCGATCTGCTGAAGCATGAGGTGATCATGGAGACTCACCCCCAGAGCCACAGACAAGCGAAATTGACAACCACTTCCAGAATATTCGCAGCCAGGGCACCGTTACCCATAAAGTCATCAGGAAAGCATCGCTTTGCATGGGCAGCCATCGTCACAAGCCCTGAGACAGTGAAGGCACTGGGACCAACCGAGACAAACATACCAGGACGCACATTTTCCCTAGGTAATTTCTGAGTCATTAGTCTAGTCAAATAGGCCGCCGATACACTTAAATATACTAAGAAGCCCGTGCCCTGTATCGTTGTTCCCCCAATGATGATAGGTAAGGCCCGAGAGGGTTCAAGTTTTGCGCTTAAGATCCCTGCATGAGGACCGATTATCAACATAGGATATGCCGGGAAGATCCATATAGGTGTCATCTGGGCTATCGTGAACGTCTGGGTTGACCACCTAAGGCAAGGTGAGCATTCAATGCCCTTTGTATAACGAGGAAGAGAAATGACACGTACAATAGCAGATAGATACCGGCAGACAGGATCACTGCAAGAGCCGCATCGATCCAGAATAACACGCCGACAGCATAACTTAGCCAAGGTCCTGTAGCCTCTGGGCCGTACTGAGAAATATTGATCAATATTGTTCCAAATGAGACGATAGACGCAGGCACAAACAATGACTCCGTTGGATGCGTAAGTGATAATTTGAAGGTATATGGATATAGGTAGAATCGTAGCAGTAGAAAACACCATATTATAATGTATAGTGCAATGTTAAACAGGAAGATTATGATGCCGATCGTTTCCAGGCCGCGGAATTTATAAGGAACTATTTCTCAAATCAGCATCCAGGAGGGGGAAATGCCAACAATACAAGCTTACCGTTATATAAGGCATTTGCGATACCACCAGTGCTCATTGAAAGAGTAAAAAAGGCCCAAGTAAAGTGCCTGATTCGTTTCTTCCAGCTCAGTGACGCAGCTGAAGCGTCCGTGTCTCTTCGAGAGAGCGGGACACTCTCATTGTCGTACTTGTAAAACGAATGATTGTGCAGTGCTTCTAACGCGGAAGACCGAGCCTGTTGGATTGCCCTTCCGGTCGTTAGGGAGAGTAGTGACAACTCATTGCTATGCAACACGCGCTCTTCCTCTGTCATTGCAATTGCGCCCACGACCGTGAGACCATGATTCGAAGTTCAGAATCTGCACTTCGCTGGGAGCATAGGAGTTGGTTTACTCGTGCTTGAATTCTTAGCTATGCTTGCCTTAGGAGACGGAGACAAACTATATGTGCTCACAAGGCAAGACAAAAGCTGGATGGGAAAAAAATATGAGTGCAGTGATGAAGGCCAGCATTTAACTGATCGGCAATTGGGCAAAGAGATCGTCTACGCTCCCGTCTAAAGGCCATATCTAGCTAGTGAAAGCCCTCCGTGGGAATCGAAACACATCAACATCGACATCCCGATCGAAGCGAATAGAGGTGAACTGGTGAATGGGTCCGTCGGGTACCGGCACGTAAGCATTTGAAGGTGGGGAAGACCGATCAAATCGAACCATATGTCATTCCCTTAACCCAAGAGAATACCTGAAAGGTAGCAATTATCTTGCGTGTGAGTGGACCGTTGTCATGAAATTTCAACCCAGACGATGTCCAAAGCATGGACTGATTCAAACCAGCGCTGCCAAGAATAATGAGTAAAACTGTGGATGCCTGAATGGCGGAAGGTGTTGGATGCCCCGCGTTGATCTGATATGTCATATAGATGGCCTTGTTTTGATGAGTCGCACTTCGTGCGTCATGCCGGAAGGGAAACAATACTCCTGTAACGCCTGTTTACACATTACTGCAGATAATGGCGCGAACTCAAGTACTTCATACCTAAAATGCTAAGGTAGTGGCCTTCCAGGGCAGAATACATATCAGCCCTTATCCATATAACAGAAAAATATCGATGGCCATTAATGTGTTTCTCTTGAAACAAACGGACTGATTTAATTATGGCAAAACAACCTATACAAATTCGCGGAAAACGGAACATACCTTATTGGAAAGCTTTCTGAAATCCATTACAGATCTTCTAGGTATCCACAGTGCTATTCGTGACCGCGTTAATGCTCGTCCTGGTCATTCTAAGATAGGATACTGAAGGTCCCTAGTAAAGGCAAGGGACTTATATTTTATCATCAAGGCGATCGAAAACATGAATGCAGACCTGGAGAATGAAAACTACTTTTAAATCTATTTACCAGGGAGCTAATTGGTCCAGATGATTTGCAGGGGGTTATGCTTCTGCCGAGGTTCAGTTGATTCGCTTCTAAGTAAATACGGAGTTTAAGGTAATCTATCGTCATACCTCTACAAATCCGCCGCATTTTTTGAGCTACCTTAGTCGTCTTAATTTCTTCAGACCTTCGTTTTGATAGATCTGAGTATTCTGTGGTTCTTTACTTGCCTTAGTACATTTGGATTGCGTGGTAGAAATGGCAGCTCCGCGAGATAACCGCAAGTCTGTGTTGATCACTGGGTAAGCAAACCTGTTGTTGCATTGAGAATTTTAATCATTTCGATGCACGCCGCTAATCGCTTTTGTGTTCTAAACTAGTTGCTCTACCGGTGGAATAGGCAATTCACTTGCCCGCGAGTTTCATCGAAATGGCTTGCGCGTCTTTGCAACGGCGCGAGACGCAAAGAACATCGATGATCTAGCAGCCCTGGGTATCGAGACGCTAGACTTGGTAGTGGATGACGAACAAAGTGTCAAATCCTGCTGCTCTGAAGTCGAAAAGAGACTTGGGGGCAAGGGTCTTGATTTTCTTGTTAACAATGCGTACTTCTCCCTCTTCACTTGCTGAAACAATAGGCCTGGATGCTGATACCTGCATGGCTAGGGGCCGAAGTACGTTATAAAATTGGATATAGTTTGCCCAGTTCGGCATTAGAACAGGCAGAGTCTTTACTCACGTATGACAGACTACACTGTCCCAGCTACTGAGGTAGACCTTGGGGAAGCCCGGAAGACTTTTGAAACCAACTTCTTCGCGGTCATCTCTATTTGCCAGGCTTTCTTGCCATTGCTCATAAAGGCAAAGGGCACTATCGTGATGATCGGTAGTGTGGCTGGGGTTAGTCAAATCTTCTTACTGATATGCCGTTTTCTGGTCCTGACAGTCTCCCTCTTTGTCAAGATCATACCTTATGTGTTCGGGTCGGTCTACAATGCCTCAAAAGCCGCGCTGCATTCGTTCAGCGACACGCTGCGGGTGGAACTTGCTCCCTTCGGGTATGCCAATGTGTTTCTCCATATTACGCCTTTTCACTGATACTGAACCCCTTCCAGAGTAAATGTCACGACTGTCATCACTGGGGGTGTGCAATCCCGCATTGCACGTACTCAGCGAACTCTCCAGCCGAACTCCCTGTTCACTCCTATTGAAGACGAATACGCACGCCGTGTGACACATAGTCAGGATGGTGCTATGCCACATGCTGCATATGCGCGGAGCGTTGTAAGGCAGGTCCTGTACGGATCAGCGCCATGGCGTTGGTTGTGGCCATGGGCGCAAGGACGAAAGAGTTGGATCTGGGAAGGCAACAAGAGCTGGCTGATTTGGCTCCTATGTGGCGGTTGGGCTTGGACGGGTCTATTTCATGGCATCATGACACGGATGTTCAAACTCTACAAGTTGAAAAATGCCATAGGGAAGTAGAAGCAAAGGATTATTGCTCGGCTCTATAGTCTAGGAGAAAACTCCAACAGGTGTTCCACCATAAAAACGATTTCTGTGTAACTGACAGAATCATAGAAGTATAGTAAGTTGAATGCAGCTGTGTTTGGAGTCGACCGGCAAATTCAATTATCAATTCTCGCTTTCCCTTGGTTCTAATGACGAGAAGGCCAGCAAACTATGGGTCTCGGCAAGGAGCTGTGGACGGGGAAGAAGTTATAACAGCGTTCCGTGATATTCGCGTCGCCCGCAATATGCACCTGATTAGTCATCCATACACGCACGCTGGTTGGCTCCATCAGGTGACCGGGTGCAATGCAGACGAAGCGCAATATTGTTCCGGGAAGTGCAGCCGTGAAAAAGCAGTGAAAGCTGTTCCCTTCCCCGAGATCTCAACAGTGGATAATCCGCCCTTTCTTGTCAACAATCACTTTGGAGGCTCGTTCTTCCTCGTGTGCTCTTATCTGTTTTCTTGAAATTCTCCCCTCTTTGACAAAGTATTTTCATCATGTTCAAGCTCGCGCGCAGCAGCCGTCCTGTCGCGGCAGCTATCAGAGCTGCGACGGTGAGATATTTTCCTGTGCTATCCGGACAATATTACATAGTACCATATCCATTTGCATCAAATTGAGCTTGCTGACATTGCATTTTTGGTAGGAATCTTCCCTTCAATCCAGATTGGCTCAGCAACAGAGAAACCTGTCCATTCACGAATACCTCTCTGCCAGACTTCTCAAGTCCGTATGTTGTCGGAGACGTTCACTCGATATTCCGCAGATCTGAAATTACTGACCGGATGACAGTATGGCGTGGGAGTCCCCAAGGGTGAGGTCGCCCACTCGGCAGAGGAAGCTGAGGCTGTCGCCAAGTCAATCGGTATATATGAGCCCTTAATGAACAAGCTGGACCGCGGTTTACTGAGACAACACTTTAGGGAACGATGACATGGTGATCAAGGCTCAGGTTCTTGCTGGTGGTCGTGGTAAGGGTTCCTTCGACAATGGTCTCAAGGGAGGTGTGCGCGTTATCTACTCGTGAGTTGCTTCCCCTAGAATTCCATTGTTGTCGCCTACGACATGTCCTCTTGTTGACACCATTTTTCTCCAGCCCAACCGAGGCCAAGATGTTCGCTGGCCAGATGATCGGACACAAGCTCATCACCAAGCAGACTGGTGCTGCTGGTCGCCTTTGTAACGCTGTCTACATTTGCGAGCGCAAGTTCGCTCGTCGTGAATTCTACCTTGCCGTCCTCATGGACCGCGCAACTCAGACACCCGTCATTGTTGCCTCGTCGCAAGGTGGTATGGATATTGAGGCAGTTGCCAAGGAACACCCTGAGGCTATCATGACGACTCCTATTGACATCAAGGTCGGCGTGACTGATGACATTGCCCGCAAGATTGCTACCGATCTTGGCTTCTCTGAGCAGTGCATCGAGGATGCCAAGACCACCATCCAGAACCTGTACAAGGTCTTCATGGAGAAGGATGCTACTCAGATTGAGATCAACCCTCTGTCTGAGACATCTGACCACCAGGTTCTGGCTATGGACGCCAAGCTGAACTTTGATGACAACGCGGAGTTCAGACAGAAGGAGGTTTTCTCGTGGAGAGACCCTACTCAGGAAGACGCCGATGAGGTCAAAGCTGCTGAGTACGTCCCGATGGCATCCAGTTTATGGCCCACGAAATATCTGTTCTAACTTGAACGACAGGTACGGCTTGAACTTCATCAAGCTGGATGGTGACATTGGATGCCTGGGTACGACCTGACAACACTTACCTTCCTGCGCTCATGCTGACCCCTTCTTTAGTCAACGGTGCTGGTCTCGCCATGGCCACCATGGATATCATCAAGCTCAATGGCGGAAGCCCTGCCAACTTCCTTGACGTTGGTGGTGGTGCTACCCCAGCTGCTATCAAGTCTGCTTTTGAACTCATCACCAGCGACCCCAAGGTCACTGCCGTCTTCGTTAACATCTTCGGTGGTATCGTCCGCTGCGATGCTATCGCCCGGGGTTTGATCAATGTCGTGGAGGATATGGGTCTGCGCATCCCCATCGTTGCTCGGTTGCAGGGTACCAACATGGAGCAGGCTCAGAAGCTGGTATGTGGCTAAACATCGCAAGCTACGAAAATGGTCATGAAATGCTAATGTAGGATCTGTAGATCAACGAGTCCGGTCTTAAGATCTTCTCCATTGAGGACCTCCAGAGCGCCGCCGAGAAGTCCGTCCAGTTCTCCAAGGTCGTCAAGATGGCCCGTGAGATTGACGTCGGTGTGGAGTTCACCCTTGGTATCTAAGCTTCGTCGGTTTGAGATGGTCCAGCATGTGTCATCGCCTATTGTTTCATCTTTCTGTCTTTTTTCGTGATTTCCCTTTTTACCTTCCTTTCATTACATGGGTGATGACATGGTGGGAAATACCAAATTGACTAACGGGGACCTCCTATTCGCTGCCCTCGCAACACTACTGTTCAGGGTTGATTAGCGATATGGATGCCGAATTGCGAGGCGGGCGAGTCGGTCAGGATATGTTAGCAAATTGGGCTAGTATAATAGTGAAATCCGCACAGTACGGGGAAGGGAGGGTGACATAATCATAGAGAGCATTGATGGTTCTGTATATCGTCCATATCTATTCATTTTCTTTTCCTTTCCTTTTGTCAATGTATTTTCTTGTCGATTCAGTCCTCTATCGATCCAATGTCTATTTCTGTAAGCGCCTCGAGATGCTCTTGGAACAAACAAAGCTCAAGACCTTCTAATTAATGAGTGTTTCTCTTGGTCCTAAAAATAGACGCATCATCCTCAATTCCATTGAAGTCACTGTCTTCAATTGTCCGGGATTTGGAAAGGAATAGCACACAAAGGCTGTGCGGCTTCATCGAAACACCACGCGCTCACACCTCCCCTACTGACCAACAAAACACAATCATGATCTCCCTTGAGCACGTATTCGTCGGCATCATGTTGACCAGGATCTACCGCCCACGGACAAGGCATAGAATTGGCCGGTCGGTAAGGAACTTGCGCACCTGGTTGCGAAATCCAGATGGTGGGCATGGCTCGCTCGATCCTGAGATAGTACAAGAGGTTGCGGTCGATAGGTGCAACGTGTAAGTTGGAGGAGGATGTGTGCTGGGGGGGCAAGAGATGCAAGAAAACTTCTTCAGTTTCGATATAGTGTGTAATGGCGATAATATAGCGCGGGTGGTGATCTTTACTACCCTTGGGACGGGCTATTAGGATGCCCGCTCTGTCGTTGAATTGTTCTGAGAGCCAGGCATTTGGCCGAACTACACAGTCGCTGTTTTCTAGCTTTGGCAGGGACAGGGCCTTGGATGCAGTTTGAGGAGCTTCCAACGAATCATCAAAGCAATGCTTCACGACCTGCAACTGTGCAGCATTGCACGGAACCCCTTCGAGATCCCATGGGCCATCAACGTTGTCATTTCGTTGTAGATGGATAGAGATCAAGCAATCCAGCGTAGAATGTAAGTCTATAAACACTAAGTGATCTGCCACAACTACCGTGCGGGAGACGCGCGAGTTGAAGTCCCACTGCATGACAACAGTGTTTCCAGCCGCGGGATCCTTGAAGCCAAAGGCAACCTTGGTGCCGCGAACAACGAAGAGGTGGAATAGGCGGGATGGCAATCGAAAGTATGCTGACTCCTCCGTTCGGAGATTCCAGACATGGCAGTATCTAAAATCGGTTCCATGAGTAAGTGAATACTACATGAGTTTGATCTGCGCAAGAATAGCTGCCTACCCACGTAGAGTGACCGCCGCAACAATCAACTCCGAAAGACGAATGTGGCCGATGCGTTCTCTGTTTTCCGTGCAGAACATCTGCATTGCATTCGAACGCAGATCCTGCACGACGACCGTGGTCATTTCGGCAGTCCAAGCATACCGTCCATTCGAATAGTCTAGGCATGCTGGGTTAATATGGCTGGGCTCGCGCCGACGAAGGGCTGAAGAGGGCTCTCCTCGCTCCAGTCTGATCCTCTGCTTGGCATACTGGTTGTAGATGTGATGAGATGTTTGATGAAAAGAATTGAGGGTGCGGCCTGAATACCGGCGGTACACAGAGCTACGAACTGGGTTAGATGACAGTAGCTTGTGCCAAGTTCTGGAGACCTGATACATTGTGAGTTTCACCATTTCCGGTTACAAGACAAGTGGACATATACTGCCTACTTACTCTCTGAAAGACATGGATTTCCGCTAGGTCTAGATACTGGGCGACTTGCACAGCAATCTCGGGGGGAAGCAACCCTAGGATATCACACTGGAAGGTTCGTGTATTAAGATGATCCCTCAAGTCACGCCATTCGTCAGAAGCTAGCTGGTGGATGAGTTCATGGAACCTGAAATTGGTGACTAGCGTCAGTCAATGAATCTTCAAAATATGTATTATCGTGAAAGGGCTTTTGTTGAGGAGAGCCGTACACTCTGCGTCGCGCGGACTTTGTCCTGAGATTTCGGAGTCGAGTGATGATCGCCTCCTCGTCCGAGTTCGGATCTACACATTCCATAGTGAGGGGAATATAGTTTTCCAGCGTCTGCGAATCATCATTGTTGTTCGTTATAAGAGGGGGAAAGCATCAACAATGACGGTATCTGGCGCACTGTGGGAGGCTTGAGGCTCACAGAGAAGGAGTGAGGGTGTTGATGAGGAAGGAACGAATCAGCTGAGCTAGTTGATCCGCCGTCATGTTTACCTAGATATATAGAGGACCCAGAGGGTGTTTACAACAATTCGGTTGATATACATACTTTGATGGCCGTTTATTTGGATAGAATATACTCTACTCAGTACTAAATCCGAGGTATCTAGCTATTATATACTGTTCTTCGCTACATCAGTACGCAGTATAATACTCTACATTTTGATTAGCAGATTAGCAGAGGGATGGAGTACAAAAGGACAGCAATGGGTAGACAGATGATAATAAACCCACCTCGGTAGATAACCAGGGTTAGGATCATGATAGTCGGATATTGAAACCTCTGCATCGAGACTATTGAATCTAGTGTCTTTGCGGCGCAATTCGAGACTAGGTACCACAGACCTATCCCAATACCCAATGCCTGTTTAGTTTGCGACCTGAGTATCTACACAGTACTCCGCATCTCATCTATCTTTTTGGTATCGAAAGGACAAATGGCTTGGAATCCATTTAACTTATCATCCTCAACATGAGCTACAGAGGACAAGCTTGTCTATTATTAATTTCCTCTTGGTGATCCATCATCATTGCTATTATATACTTCTTAATCAGTAAAGAACGATTCATCAAATTACAGATACCATTTGCGTAGAGAAAGCCTTGTCTCTCCTAGTTACGAAGTACGTCTCTCTCCCCTCTTCATAAAATCATATCATATTACTCCCCCTATTCGCCTCCCCCTCATCACTAGTCGCAATATATCTTCTTCTTTCCATACGCCACTCTTCCTTGCACCCAACCAATTGTTGATCCATATCCGCGGTTCCGTGCAGATTCCAGAGCCCAGACTACTGCTTACCTGCTTACTTTAGTAACAGACTACTGGATTTAGTAGGACTGTGGCAGGTAAGCCAGCTATCGACTACCGGGTTCCCCAAACATTCTTCTGCACCTTAAAGCTCCTCCTATCAGTACTTACTATTCTGTTGGTATCGCCAACTATAGTCTATCTATTATTGTCTTATATTATATTGTTTAATATATTCGAGATAATCCTTTATCCGAACCCTCGTTTCAGAATCTTCTCAGCCGCGACTTTTCATCTTTGTCTTTTCTCGCATCCTCTCTCTCTATGCTCTAATGAACTAATCCCCCATTATTATTCTCTTCACAAGGCATTACAGAGAGGATATTTCGATAAACCCGCATAGGCACTTCTAGAGCAGAAACGAAAAGGGAAGAGGTGAAGAAAAAGAAAAGAAAAGGAAAAAAATCGTGCATTGGAACGACAAGGAGCCTTACATATCGGCTGTTCCCGTGCCTCCGTTGGTCATTTCCCGAGCTCCTAGTCTGGATGTCAGAAACCAGACCCATGATAGTCAGCTTCAACTACTACTAGCAGCTATCTGGTTATCTGCAGATCCGATCTTTTAACGCTTCTCGTCCGCGACATTCCTTCCCTTCCACAGCTCGTCCCTCTCGCCCCTCTCGTCGATTTCATGCTGGCACCTCCTTCCGAGACTAGATTGGAACGAGTGGAGAACAAAGGGGCAAAGAGGAGCTTTGGACTGGTCTAAGGCTCTTCACACTTATTTGAGTCTGGTGGGCGACAAAAATCCTTGAACAGTCGCTGTTTGGCAAATCGACGCGCGAGAGGGAAAAGGAAAAGAAAAAGGAAAGAGAAGTCGAAGTCACATTCTATCTACATGATCTTCGCTTCGCAATGACTCTAATAGCGGAGACTCTATGGTATTGATCAGCGCCCTCTTGGCCCAGGCTCTCTGATTCTTTGTATCCACCTTTCCACGTTCTCCAGTCCTCCACGAGCCGCCGACATCTGGAAGAGAGGGGAAAAAAAAGGCACTACGTGATCGCTCCCTCTCTTCGCTGACCATTCGCATTTTCAATTCAAGTGGTTTCTTCCAAGCTCCGCTCTGCGCAGACTTGCTTCTTCCTCTCTGCGGCTTGGCCGTCATCCTTTTCGCGCGAGATGAGCGGCCTCGCCGATCCTCCGTCTCGAAATACTTTTACTGCCGGTACTGCAGATGCGCCAGGCAAGACACGAAAGCTCCCCGTCCTTCCTTCCTCTATTCCATCCTCTGCTCAGTCGACAGGTGACTCCATGGAGGTCACTCCACCTACCTCTACGACGACAGGTCCTGCGCCGCCCGCCCACAGCAGTCCCGACAGCGATCGGGCGGGCGCAAACATCGCGAATTCCAATGGTTCGGTCGAAACTGGAAACATGAACAATACTCTGTCAAATCAAGCAATCGGGGCTGCAGCCGCAGCCCAGCAGCCAAAGGTCGTTCAGACCGCTTTCATTCATAAACTGTATAAGTATGTTTGCTCAGATTCCGTTCGCTCTCACACATGTCTCAAACCTTTCGTTGTCTTATACTTGCCATCTGCACCTTTTGACATAAATCATATGAGCCCTTGCTGATGCCACTTAAACAAACAGCATGCTAGAGGATCCTAGTATTCAACATTTGATATCGTGGTCGAGCACCAACGACAGCTTTGTCATGTCGCCAACATCCGAGTTCTCAAAAGTCCTCGCGTTAGTTCCTCCCCTTGAAAACGCTTCGCATATTGTAGCCTGATTGCTGATATTTGCCTCTTTAGTCAATATTTCAAGCACACTAATATTTCGTCTTTCGTTCGACAGCTCAATATGTACGGATTTCATAAAGGTATGTGATTTTCGGAGGGGGGAGTGAATGTGTTCGTACTTTTGCTGACCCTTTGCGTCTTCTTACAGTGAGCGATGTCTTTCACACCGGCTCTCCAGACTCTGCATTATGGGAGTTCAAACACGGGAATGGGAATTTTAAAAGGGGCGACCTCGTAGGGTTGCGCGAAATCAAGCGCCGAGCATCACGGCATGCTTTAATTCATCGCGACTCATTTCCCGGCCACAAGACCGCTGTTTCTCAACCTGGCACGCCGGCCGAGCCCGTCCCAGATGCGACCGAAGCGCGATTACTGAATTTGGAACATTCGCTATATGATATGCATACCCGTCTAAGTCGCACTGAAGAGGCACATTCAGCTCTCAATTCAAGATGTCAAGCCATGGCCGAGAGTTTGGCCAGATGTTATCATGTTCGTTGGCCCTTTTGAGTTTCATCGAGGCGCCTGCTATGTCTGACACTGGAGCACTGACGCGATTTCAGTGGGCGTATTCAATTTCTCAATTCCTACAAGGAACGATTCGAGATCGGGACAGTCCTCTGTACCGGGATGGTGAGCATCACTACCGAAGAACAACATTACCATGACCACATTCGCTAACTCATCACAGTATCCAGCATGCAGAAAGAGATAGAGAAGCATCTCGACGTCGTGCGAGCCCTCGAAAATCCTCCGGACCCATATTTATCTGTCAGACCACCATTTTTTGCCAATGTGTCGGTTGATCCCGGGCCGCCTCTTTCCCCACGCCAGGTGCCCCAAGACGATAGCCGTCGACCATCGATGATGGATACTTCTAGGCATAACATAATCCGACCACCCGTGCCCCCGCATCTTGCTGTCTCTCCTCGCCGGTATGGCTCAATTGGTGGGGGAAATTCGTCCCCGAACTATAATCGGCCGCAGGTTCCCTCTGTAATCCCACCTCAACAGCCGATGCCTCATCCTCTGTCTTCGGTGTCTTCTCCGCCGGGACCCAATCTTGCTCGTCGACACACTTCAGCAGACATCCGTCAGCATGGCTGGCCGCCACCGAACGTTTCCCAGTTTCCCGCTGCTAATGCACAGGGCGCTCCAGTCACACCATGGCCACCCTCGCCCCATCGTACACCGACTTCTAGTGAGCAGCAGGTTCGGGATGTTCTGGCTCAGTATGAGATGGGAGTACCCCGGCGATTTCAAAGCAGTTCGCGACATGCTACCCCGCCTTTGAATCCGGACCACCCGTCATCCACTCTAACTGTGGACAACGCATGGACATATGGTGGATCGAAGTATGCTAGGCATGAATCCTCGCTTCCTGCCACCAGACGATCCAGCATGGCCAGCAACGTCCACTCGCTCCTCAACCCCGCTGATACAGTGGAACGTCCTGAAGAGGATCAGCATAACAACCTCGAAGATCGAAAACGAAAGCGGTTAGAATAAAAAAAAAGGCGTGAGACTGATTTACGCGCTCAATTGCAATGTCTAGCCGAACCGCCAATGTAACGCGCCAGTCATATGTTGAGCATGAGAACATCAGTATCTGGCTCTCCGTCTTGCAGCAACAGCGATACGCGCAAACCTCTTGAAGAAGCACCATCTGCATATTTGAGCAACCTATCACTGCCACATATTCTGATCATATTGCGACCTCAGCCTCGTTCTTTGATCTTTTTCTTTCATCCCATATAACTTGTACAATCTCTCCAGGAAAAGTGCGGGTTTTCTAGGACAGTTGGAGGCCACGCTTTGTTTATTTTATCTTCTACGCCTAATTTGGAGAGCGCAGCCTCCTTTCGCAGCGTACCTGCTGGAAATCGTTGTATGTCCGGTTCTGTTGATATCATGCCTGACCATGCAAATCGATGATGACTGCCCTCTTGCCACAGTATTGGTGTCTGCACTTATTGGGAACTTGGAATAGGCAGGTTCAGTTCCCGCATATCATACTTACTATATACCCTGGGGCTGGGTGGGGCAGACCATGTCTATTTTTGATCACAAGCTAGATCTACAATAAGAGTCTACAATCTAATGCAATTATGTCCGTGTGCATGAACCAGGTGACAGAATAATGTTGAGGTGTTCTCCCATTCGTTATTGTCTGCAGCCTTGCCCATCTCTTGGATGTTGGTCAGATACTGGCGAGACCTAAGTCGAGAGTACGACGAACTATATAATTGGGTCGATCACGACATCGAGAACGTCCACGAAAAGATTGCTGTATTCACGTTAATTGCTGTCTATCAAACTCAATATTTGATCGGATAACTGGGTATCATGCTGTACAACTGAAATATTGGGGGAGGTTCCTGACGACCAACATCATCGCTTCTTCCTCTTTTTCGACCGATCGGCGAGTATCTCATCCAAAAAACTTGTGGCTTTCTTCCGGCCTCTCGGCCCTGGCGCTGATCGCGATAACGGGCCCTCTTGCTTCGCTGGAGTGTCTTCGCTATTCCCATCCTTAATCTCACCAGCACCACTTGGAGCAATGCCATCGTCCTCTGCAATATCAGTCGTAGCTTTTCTTTTCCGTGCTGAATCCACAGCTTTCTTCCGAAGGTCGCCTTTCCTTCCCACCACCGCCGTTCGTCCTTCCTCATCATCATCGTCATCCTCCGCATCTCCCGTATTCCCAGCGGGTACTCCATTTTGGCCCACCGGCTTGCCCAGTTTTACCCCAGCGGAAGCAGCCATGACCTTCTTGTAGTTTTTCCCCAGGAGTTGTTTCCGGAGCTTATCGTTGGAATCCAATTCGGTCCGGTTCCAGCTCCCGTCAGCGGCTTTTTCGGGGAGGGGCGCGCCGACTCCTAGTCTATTTCGGGGACCGTAAGTATGCGTGGGAATAGACATTGGCATCAAACAGGGAAAAGGAGGAACGTACGTCTCCGGGACAGCAGTGAAGATTTCATCTTCCTCTCGCTGGAGCTCTTCTGTTTTGACACAGGCCTTTTCTTCGTCTGTCGGCGGAGGGAGCCAGGAGGCTACTAGACGCTGGCTGCGCGCTAGAGCAACATGGGCTTTATTGAGGATGATATCCGTTTCGCTTTTCGATATTGACATGTTTGTATCATGTATGTTATATATAACGATTGGTTGAGCTGATTGTAGACGGATTGGAAACTTTTTTGCGATAGCGGGGCGGAATTATGCAGGCAGAAAATTCACCGCCTGCTTTGGTTAGGACGGGAGTATCTGATATGGCTAAGATAAAATGGGGCGTTTGAGCCTCTGCGTTGATGATATAGGTCATTTGCTGTTCATAGTGACGAATGGACTGCTGACAGATGGTCAGTAAAATGATAGCTACAACCTATGGTACTGGCGGCAGCAGGTTGGTTTCGAATCTCAATTGCGTCAGTTCACATAATGAATCTATGTACATCTCCAGATACTCTAGTCTGTATCAGGGTCAAAATACTATGTACAACGCTGAGGGACTGTAGACTATATACCCTTCGTTACATCATTCATTTTTCGCAAGATATAATCCAAACTCGGAGAAGCTCAGATTGACGCTTTAGTTTTCTCGTGTTGTTTCTTTTCTTTTAGCTTCTTCTCCGTCTTCATAAATTCGCGAATACCAACTGGTATATTGGCAAACAGATCGTCTGCCTCGTAAGAAACTGGCCGATTAGTTTCGCTACCTCCGCCGTCGTCATCCATGCTATGACTCGCACTTTCAACCTCAGCCCTGGGCGTCTGTCGCATATCCGTCGCGGCCTTCTGGGTAGAGCCCTTCACCTTGGCTCTTCCCACACGACTGGCCCATTCCTCCATTTCATCACGGTAATCATCCCACACGCAATGGACACAACCACTCATGCAGCAATTGTCCGGCTCCTCGGGCCGGGGCGGAATGGCCACCCCGTTGATCATCTTCCATTGAGACTCGGGTGGCATAGTCCCAGGGTTATAACGCGAAGCACGGCCTGGTCCAGCAAGCCGCGATCCAAACACGATGGACATCTTCTCTTCTGGTGATTGTGGTTTGACGGTTGTTGCCAGGCTTGGTTTCTCGGCGGCTTGCGACGCTGGGCGCGATGTTGGCGGATGAGATCTGTAGGGTGATTGGGATGAGAGGATATCGTAGTAGTAGCCCGATAATGGATGCGCCTGCGAGCGCGTTGAATCTTCTAAGCTTGCCAGGGTATCGTCGTGGGTGTTCCCGCGGTGGGAAGACGGAGTGAAGGCATATTGTCTTGTCACTGATAAAGTTGGCCAGGAAGGTAAAGAAAGCTTGTTCGTAACCCGGACGTGCCTAAAGCACAATGAGCGGGTTCTACATCGAAGAATCGACTGCCTGATATGCATGGAGAAGCACTCCATTCTTGAGCTTCAGAATTAAATGTGAAGAACTTCCGAAGGTCAGAGAAAACGACCAACTTATGTCATTAGGCAAACAATGCAAACAGCCCACAGCTATCCGAATTCCGCGGCAGTTCCTGTTCAACTATGTATGCTTATCGCGGAACACATGCTGCACGATGTTGAAACGAGTTTCCTGCCATTAAGGCCCGAGGCAGCAGTCGCTTCTATTCAATGACTGGCAGACTTATTGAAATAAGTCATTTACTCCATTGGGTGTCTACTTACGAATTGTGCGACCGGCGCTAATCACTCAGTTCAACCATTACTACTGCTTTCGACGCGTCGCAAATGAGCTCACAACCCCTCAGGGGTGACGCTCGAACGCGCCCTTCGAGGATTCCGACATTTCAAGCGCCAACAAAGGCGAGTCTTGCAAGATCACATCTCGAAATCTTGGAACGCTCTCATAATAAGTCACCGGGGAAGGACCAGACTCAGGGTGATCAACAGAAGCAGGCGGAGACGGGAGTGTTTGGGCTACGGGATAGAAAGGCTTTTCGACCGTCGTTGGCGTCGACTGCAAGCCCTATACGTGCTGCGCGGCAAGCCGGGGATGCGCGCTCGCCGTTTTCAACCCGACGGTCGAGTGGAATTCAAGCATTTGCTGCACCCCCAAGACGAGTGTCGAGAAAAATCACTCCTGCAGACTTCGTCTTCGGGTCTCCAGCAAACTTACCAAATAATGCCAGAAATGCGGAACCTATAAATACCCCTGAAGATCAATTAGCATCTGAACTGGGCAGCGCGACAGGAGAAGTTAACGTGAGCATTGATTCTGAGCAGCCCTCTTTGCATGAAGAATTTGAGGAACCGGACCTGCCCCCGACGCCCACTCAATTAGGCCTGGAAAACCCCCCCGAGAGACCGAGAGGACTTTTGAGCAGCAGCCCTAGCACGCAGCCTGGGAGATTCCGAACGCGGCGAACTGGTGATCTACTAGAGAAAAGCCCTTCCAAGCTCAGGAGGGTTGATTATGGGTCACAAACAAATGACCTATCAGGACTCGGCGTCATTGTATCGAAAGAATCTCTTCCAGAACCTGTTGTGAAGAAACAAAAGCTCAAGAGAGAGCTCTCTGCCGACTTGAGTAAACTCAAGGAAGACATCGCGGAATTGGAGAGCTGGTCAGAGAGATTGGGCCAAGAACACGAGACAATAGAACCGGATCACGACTTGGACAAACTCATGTAAGTTCTGTTTGGTACTCTGATCGCATCAACCAACTGACTGATTTCCAAACAAGCTCTATATTGGTAGCCGAAGATCTGGCCAGCAAAAATGCGAAGCGCCCTGCGGCCGATCCGTCGATATCCTCCTTATTATCCACCCTATTACCTTTCTCCACAAAGTTCGCGCCGTCAATACAGCAGTCGCCCACCCCTACGAATCCGTTTGCCCTCGAAGTATCTGCTCGAGCAAAACCATACTTGACAGTATTTGCACCCTTAAATTTGACGGCGCATTCGAACACTACCTCCGACCAAAAGAACGATACCCTTCTTGAAAGACATCACTTGACACTGTCTGCTCCAGCCCCATTTCCTTCTAACGTCTACAATATACCCGTCATTTATGAGACGAACACCGAGTTACAGTGTTTGACCTCAATATCAGTCCCGACGAGTCTTGGAACTTCCGCCACAAAAATCCCTACATCGCTGAGACGATGGATAGATTCAAGGCTGTTCAACCCGCTCCTGAAAATAGACATATCAGGCCTCTGTCAAGGCATCAATCAGTATTGGGAAGCAATGCTGTCACGTGCTCTCATATGGTCCGAAATCGAGGAACGGCACTCAAACCTGACTAGCCGGCCTGCGTTGGGGGTTGGCGCTCCTGGAAAGAATAGCACACAACAGGGGCAAGATGATAAGTCGAGCCCGCGCCGACTACTGCCACACCTCAAGCGCAGCACAATGCTTTTCGAGTCCAAAGAAACTAGGATGAAATTACTCCTTTGGTGCGACCTGAGCATGGACGAATGGTCAAGCGAACCTAAACTGACTCCGGATATCAGCATCGCATCAAGATCAACGAGTAGTGGCACATCTTGCAGAAAGATCGAACAA